AACTTGCTGTCTTATCTCAAAACACTTATCTTTGAAGTTTTGCACTTGTTTTTCTGAGTGAATAAAAGCCCAATTTTATATATTGTTTCCTTATTTATTATGTATGTGATTACAACCTCTAAATAGAAGTAAGAAATATGAAAACATACTTTGATGATTTTCGGGGTATTACACTAATATGAAAGAGTAAACAAAATGAGATCTTTTAATTACTTATGAAATGACTGACCCAACCGGGGATTTACCTCGGTGGTTTAGTGCCTGCTCACAAGTGCAAGGACCCGCGTTCGGTCCCCAGTATAAACAAAGCAAAACAAAACAATACAACTGTAATGTCACCCTCATCCCAGTGAAGCATTTAGTAAGGCTTAGCTATTTTAAAGGCTTTGGAGTATTAGGCTCTGCAAGCCTTCAGGAAAGATGGATTATCTAAACATCTACTCATCGGCTTTCTCTTTAATTTTAGCCTGACTACATTTCTTAGTAGAAAACTTTCCATCTGTTTCTTGCTCAGTAATTTTTTATTAGTATATATTTTTAATACATATTTCTCTCATTCTTTGTGGGGTGTTGCATGTACATAATACATTTTTTTTTTGATAATAGGATCAATCTCAGGACCTTGCGGATGTGGTGCCACCGAGCTAAATCCCCAGTCCCATGATGTATCTTTATTTTTTTTCCCATTGAGTTTATTGGTGCTTTTTAGGTATACAGTACAGTTGCAGTCATCTTTGGGATCTTGTACCTTTACATGATGTACCTGGGTTCTTATTTTTCCCCATTCCTCTGCTCTCCTTTCAACCCCTCCACCCTTCCCTATTTACAAATACTTTGTTTCCATTTTTTCCTTTTCTCATATTTTTTCTTTTCCCTTCTTTCCTTTCTCCTACCCTTCCCACTTCCCCTACTTCTTTATTTTTTTTCAGCTTTAATTGAGTTTATTGGTACATTTTAGGGATACAGTACAGTTACACTCATTGTTGGGATCTGTACCTCTACATGACAAGTCCTGATTCTCATTTTTTCCCCTTACCTCTGCCCTCCCTTCACCTCCTCCTCCCCTCCCCATCTACAAACACTTTATTTCCATCTTTTCATTCTCTGACATTTTCTTCCAATTTCACATTGTCAGTTACACAATTTGAACCTTATTTACACTTTTACCTTTTCACACCAGAGGAACTCTTCAGTAATTACACACCTGTGTCCTATTTATCTCACTTAAGAGTATGGTCTCAATATGCATCCGTGTACCTATAAATGTCTCTAGTTTCTCATTCTCTGTGGCTGAGCAGTACTCCATTTTATAGAAAAACCACATCTCTATCCAGTCCCCAGTTGATTGCCTCCTAATATGTCTAAATCCCTTTCTTCATTCTTTTCCCTCCTCTTCCTCTGGACTCCTCTCATCTGTTGGTCATGGCCTTCCCATTTGCAAAACATCTATCTCCCCGCTTCCTATTACCTATCTTTTATTTTGTTCTTCATAGTTTGATTTTCTCATCTAAGGGAAACAATGTGATCTTTAACCTTTTGTGTCTGACTTATTTCATTTCATAGTATGGTCTCAAGGTGCATCCATTTGACTATGAAAGATTCAAGTCTATCCTTTCTTATGGCAGCATAATATTCCACTATGTATAAGTACATTTTCTTTATCCATTTTTTTTCTGTTGATGGACATATATGCTGTTTCCAAGATTTAGCTGTTATGACCTGTGCTGCTGTAAATATGAGTATGAATGTATGCATGCATCCAATAGCTGCTTATGAAACTCCACCCATGAACAGTTTTCAAATGCAACCTCTAATGTCCCGTTAATTTGGAATACTGCAAGGAGGTATACTTACCCAATGTTGTGAGTTTCCCTCTATGAGCCAGTGTTGGATATATCGAGGCATAATGCTGGTTGATATTTTCACCAGTTTCTGCTGTTCGATCTCATCTAAAAATATGGCATAATTCACCCAAATAGTGTTGACTAAATACTCTCTCGGATTTACCATCGAGTGAGAACGAGCCCCCTCCCTACACAGACAGGTTGCTATGGTTTCTATGTAGACATTCCTCCACAGAAAGCCATAGATGGGGCTTTCTGAAGGTGATTAGATGATGGGGCATTATACTCAGGTTATAACTATCTGTGCTATTGGGAGGTGGCTCCTGGTCACGGGAGGGGAATCACTGTGGAGCAGGGCTATGAGGGATATCTCTCCCTTCCTGGCTCCTCCTTTGTTGCTCTCTGCTTTTCTGCCATTGTGGCACAAGCAGCTTTCCCATTACACCCCTCTGCCACGGCCATGCTATTTCTTCTTGGGAGACAGCTGATCTTGGACTAAAACAAAATAAGTCTCTTTTCCTTTAAGTTTTGAGTGTCAGTTATTTTGTTCCAGTGATAATGAAAGTGACTAAGACATTATCAAAACCAAAAACCATGTTATAGGCATGATTTCACTCTTAGTTTCTGAGTAATCATTTGTGTCATGTAAACAGGCTGCTTGAGTAAGTCATAAGTGATTTTTAAAGTTACAAAGATCTCACTGGATAAGGATGCCAGAATAGAGATTAAGGGCAACCTCAGTCCAGGAGTTTTCCAGGAGCCTCAAGGAGTTTTATCAGTCAAATTGCATTCATTGGCCCTATTAAATGCATGCCCATATTATGTACCACTACTCTCACAGCCAATAAGATGTTTGATCATCTGCAGCAGAAATATGCTTCATTACTATATTATGGATTGTGTTTGCATTCTTTCTCAGCTGGACTTAGAAACAGTGGATCAGCGAGGTTTTAGATGTGGAATTTAAAAAGGCTTACTTGGTTGCAAAATTATTTTTGGCACAGTTTGATTGTGTGCCTTCCATATTAAAATGCAAGAAGCAAAATTGTAATTGTTTCTTTCTCCAAGCTACTTGAGCGTGGCAGCTAGTACTACATGAAAATTCAGGTATTTTTTTGCACAAAGACTTCATGTTTTCAGATTCATGGAAAATGACTATTGGCATATAATAGAGGTTATATATATGAGTAGGTTATGAAATAATCACACACTGCCTCATTACATGGAGAGATGATGCATAATTCACAATCTACTATATATACACATATATTTGTCTACTATATATATAAAATCCCATTATAAAATACTCATCTCATACTCAATTATGTAATATCTGGAGATCTGTTGGCTTTTAAATAATTATCCTATATGTACCCTTCCAAAATTGCAAGGTTGCTTTTTAACATTGGAAAATGAAATACTCCTATTAATTTATTTGTATACTTCAGCTAAACTAATTGTCAATATTCTGTTTCCAAACCAGTATTTGATCTATATTCCATAATAATTTGATTCCTTATCCTTTACTTTTCTCCCTGACATATTTTTTTATTCATTAATAAGCTCCCAATTATGCTTTCATTTCTTATGTCAAATGTTTCTCTTTAGGTACACTGATCAGTTACAAATATCAAGTGCAAGTAACCAATCCCTTCCACCACAATAACACATTTAATAACTCATATTTTAAAATTTTCTTCCTCTTTTAATTTCAAAGTTGTGCACACACACACACACACACACACACAGACCTTTCTAGGGCACGGGTGTTTGCTGAGTTCTTATTTATTATTTTTCAAATAATGTTTAATACTTATTTATCACATTAAAAAAAATAGTTAATACCTAATTGCATCTTCCTGAAGGTTCTCTCATAATCATGCAACTTTTTATTTATAGTTACCTGCTGATTGTTGAGAGTTTGTGTTCCAGTCTTAGAACCTACTGGGCCTCATATTGAGCACCATTATTTTCATTAATTATTATAGCTATGGGCTTGGGTTTCAGCCATGCAGTGAATATTTCCATCTCAACCGATTTTTATTAATTGTGAGATATGCAGATAATTATGTTACTTTTCTATTACCAAATGAATGTTAATATAGCACTACTTATTTAATATTTCACGATTTTTAGAAATATTTAATGATGTGATACATGCAAAACTCTTTTATTCCAGTACTGCAGACTGAACCCAGGGCCTTCACATTGACCTACACCACCAGCTTTTTATTTATTTATTTTTCCTTTTGATAGTGTTTTTAAGTTTCTAAGTTTCCTAGACTGGTCTCAAATTTACAGTTGTCTTGCCTCCTCTTCCCAGCTTGTGTGGACTAATGGATTGTGCCTCCAGGCCCAGCTTCAAATTCCTAACATAGTGTTTGGCGTGTTACAATTTCTCAATTTTTGTTTTGTTTTGTTTTGCAGTACCGGGGATCAAACTCAGGACCTTGAGCTTGTAGGACAGGCATGGTGCTGCTGAGCTAAATCCCTGGGCCATTTGTCAATATTTTTTGTAGTGGCTTTTAAACATTTAAAACAAGTGGAGATAAACAATTAAACATGACTCTTTCAGACTAAGGACAGTGTAAAGGCTTGTCAGTAATGTGTTGGAAATTTGTGTCTTGATTTTATATTTATTTGCTATTTTTGTCACTTCAGCATATTTTAAATATCACACAAATTAGTATCATTGTCAATATTAAGATAATTTTATCTTAATGACAATATCTCATATCTTATAAAACCTTAGGTACAATTTACAAAAGAGAAGGGACCAAGGGGGTGAAGGGAGGGCAGGGACAAGAGGAGAAAATGAGAAACAAGACCTGTCATGTAAAGGTACAAGATCCCAATAATGAATGTAATTGTACTGTATAACTAAAATGTACCAATAAACTCAATAAAAGAAAAAAAAAACAAAAGAGAAGGGAACAGAGTCACACCGGGCAACAGAAATTACTGCAAATTTTGAATTGTATTTTCTATAACTTGTGAAATAATTAAAAAGAAGAGTTAATGGCATTATTTTTTCTCCAGCAAAACTGAGTGTATGTGCGATTTAGTTACAGAAATTTTATAATATAAAATTAAGTCTTCTAAGGAAAATATAAATAGTAGCTTTACTAAAATGTAATTACTCTGTGTATCTTTTAGGAATATACAATAGATATAATTTTTGCCCAAACCTGGTTCGACAGTCGACTGAAGTTCAATAGTACGATGAAAGTGCTCATGCTTAATAGTAATATGGTTGGAAAAATTTGGATTCCTGACACTTTCTTCAGAAACTCGAGAAAATCTGATGCACACTGGATAACGACTCCTAATCGTCTGCTGCGAATTTGGAACAATGGACGCGTTCTTTATACCCTACGGTAATCATGTTCTACAAATTTGCAGTTGCTCTAATTTATTTATGCTAACATTGACTAGCTTGTAAAGTTTTCTTCTTCAAAATTGCAGTGTGGGAAATATGGTATTTCTCTCCTTTGCTAAAATCCAAATGGTGAAATATTCTGGCAACATTTTTTAAAACACAGTTATTACTACATGAGAAGGTCTAGAGTTAAAGAAAAATAACCTCCATGCAAAATAGGTTGTTACATGATCATTAATGTTTTTAATGTATAATGCAAATCACTGAGATTTTTCTCTAGGAGCTCATCCTGTTGCAGAATTTTATAGTCAGATTATCAAGAGCAGACTAAAACATCCCCAAGAATGGACTGATGTATAAAGTTCAAATGTATTTAATTCATTTCCTTCTACACACTGTACCTGCATATTAAGAATTGTTTTATTCTTAAGAGGATACATTCAGAGACAATATTGGCAGGCATACCAGTGTAAAGAGTATTCATCTTGCACTTATATGCATGAGTGCATGTGAATGTGCATGATTGGGGAGATTCTAGAATGTGAATTTTGAAATGTTAAATCCAGAGATCATCTTGAAATGAATACATCAATAAAGGAATTTTTTTTTTTAGAGAGAAATAATGTAAGAATTTTCGGGCTCCCTTCTTAATGCTATAATACAATTTGAGATGTTGACTTTAGTATCATTATTATATTCTAATATATTATAGTTTGTTATTGTAGGCCTAAATCATATTTTAAAAATAAGCAAGATATTTTCAATGATTAAAACTGTTTCTTTATTAATATTTATTTTTCCACCTACATAGATTGACAATTAATGCAGAATGCTATCTGCAGCTCCATAACTTTCCCATGGATGAACACTCCTGTCCGCTGGAATTTTCAAGCTGTAAGTGATAAAACAACGGATGATTTCATAGAATCTTAGCCTTAAACCTTTTTTCTGTAAAAATATAAAATAAAAGTGAGTAAGTACAATTTTCAACAAACATAGATATGCTAGGTACAATTTGTTAGGTAAAATAGTTACAAATACTACATTTGTTTCTTGATTTCAAATAACAAGTGGTAATAAATGTGTAGTCATATATATATATATATATATATAAAATTAAATCATTTTCACAACTCAGCATATTCCAATGTCTTTGCTTATTTTGAAGAAAGTACTATTGAAGATAGATATTAAAATGTTTTTACAAATCACTAATAAAAGGTGACTCATTATATCCGTTTATTGAAGTAATATTTAACTTTATTGCACTGGATTTAGTCACGTGTCTAAAATGCTTGGGTGTAGAGCATATACTTCCTGAATAGCAAATATCTGAGAAGACTACTGAGTTGGAAAAGCTAAGCTAGAAATATAAAATTAAAATACTTTAAATTTATTAAAGGAAAACAGAAAGAAACAGAAAAATTGATTAAAGCAAAATAATTTGAATATAAAATCTAGCATTTTCCCATAAAAATATCAATTCCTATTGTGATATTAATTTTATTTCATATCATTAATACTATAATTCTTATATACATTTTACAAAGATATTTAGCTCAATAATTAAACAAATAAAATGACTTTTAAAAATGCTATTGCCTATATCCACAAATTATTTGATGCTAGTTTATATCTTTCAAATTATTTAAGTGCATCATATTCTGGAATCAGTCTCAGTAGAATGTAGTATGATTACAAGTAGTAACTTACTTTACCTAAATTTTAGAACATCTCTTGTCATCTAATATTAATTATTTCCTTGAATAACCTTAATAACCTTTTTCTTATTACAACATCATTCTATATTTATGATCTCACACCTGACTTATTTTTTACAGATTAATTTCTCAATAAATAAGACAGCCAAATCACAACAAAGACTTGATTAATAAGAATACTCAAGGAGTAGCTGATATGTAACCATTTGCTCTTGCCTACATGCCATTCTTACATCTTGATTTGACATTGCTTTGGCTTTGACTGCCATCAAAAACAGTTAATAATTCTTCCCTGTAAATGCAAGTGAGCATGAATGGCATAAATGTAATAACCATAACCAATTCAGTTTAAGCATTCTATAGAGGTTCAGTAGAAAATTAAGCCTTCTATCTCTATTATTGCATATAAAAGTGTGAGGATAATTTTATTACAATCCTAATTTTAAAAGTCAATGTCATGAGATGCAGAATTACTAAGTATCTGGTGCCTGTGTCCCTATGTATTCTGATCACACACTATTAACTCTATAATTAGAATTAATAGGAAATAAGGAAAAAGCAATATAGTGACCTCCCCCAACAAAATAAAGTACAAGAGAGAAAAGGGAATGTAAATTCTTCAGTAAATTAGCAGAGAAGACAGTTATTTTATTTCACTGCTGATAAGAGATCATGTAAAATAATATACTGTTTGGGAAACATTTAAATTAGTAAATGAGTTCTCTGTAATGTGTAGAACAACTATTTTGCTGAAATAAGTAAAAGCTTCATATTATTAAAATATTTCCAAAAATATACAGGTGATCACGACTAGGCAAATGTTTTTAGCCCCCAAATCCACATAAAAATAGGAAGCCTGGAGAAAAGACAGATATATAGGATCATGTGAAATAATGCACACAACTGAAGCCACCAGGTGTGCTAAGAAAATTGCCTATGAAGTCAGCATACCATAATGAAAGAAGCATTACAGGATTATTCTTTAAGCTATGAATAAATATTTCATCCAGTAATTTTTCTAGTTGACATATTTTATAATAACAAACAAAGAATTTTCAAGAGTTTGTCATTGTATAATGTTGTTATTGCAACAGTGTCTGATTTGAATTTTGCAAATCTACGTATTTATTCGTTTAAATTTTCCTATAGATGGATACCCTAAAAACGAAATTGAGTATAAATGGAAAAAGCCTTCTGTAGAAGTGGCTGATCCTAAATATTGGAGATTATATCAATTTGCATTTGTTGGCTTAAGAAACTCAACTGAAATTGCTCACACAATCTCTGGTAAGGAGAATCTGTGTAACGGTGCATTATGCTAGCACTAAATGGCACCACTAATTAAATGTATGGGTTGGAATATATATTTCATATATTTTCTAACCAAAAGGAAACATATTATTTTTCTTTCAGGGGATTATGTTATTATGACAATTTTTTTTGACCTGAGCAGACGAATGGGATACTTCACTATTCAAACCTACATTCCATGTATCCTAACAGTTGTTCTCTCTTGGGTGTCTTTTTGGATTAACAAAGATGCAGTACCTGCGAGAACATCACTGGGTATGATCTCTAATGTTTTGCTATAATAGCATAAGACTTTAAAAATGTAATGCCAGTAAAGGTTATAGAAGGATATATTAGAAATAGCTGCTAGGCTATTTGGACAGAAACTAGTGGGACATATATATATATCTATATAGATATATCTATATAGATATATATATATACTTAAAATTTTAGAAAATTCCTTATGTTGCTCAATATTTTAATTGATTTTCATCAAGGTTTAATTTAGAATTTAGATGAATGAGTAATAATTACATTCACTTCCTGGTGTATGTTTTGATGGCTGTGAAATCTTTTACTCTTACAATGCTGCTAATGAACAATCCACTGTTCCAAGGGGCAGGTCTCTGAAAAGAACAAGAAGCTCCCTGGCTTCTGTGATATATAAAGTGTGTAATTAATCTAAGTGTATCTGACAGTTGTCTGTAAAATAACATTGATTAAAAGGATAATTTATAATTCATCCTCAACAAAGTAGATTTTTGTTCTCTTCCTGTAGCAATATATTTCAATAATTATATCCTATAAGAAAGTAAGTGGCTAATTACTACACGTGTTTGAAAGATAATGATAATTTAGATTTGCATATTGATACACAGAAAACTTGTTAATCATCTGATTCATTTCCAAGATCAGTGTAGGACATGAATAACAGCGCTGTCATTTGTGCCTTAAAAAAATCATAGTTTAGAAATTTTCTATTTCCAACACTGAAGAATTTCCATCTGGTTCCTATGATATCTGGTAAATAATTGCATCTAATAAATAAGGTGAATCTTAAATCACATCAAGTGGCAGCAATAAATATAAAGCATTCACTGTATACTTGGAGATGCACTTTTCTTTGGAGACTAAGGTCTTGAGCAAGGGAAACCATGAAGGAAATAACAGTGATATCTGAAGTGATATTATATTATCCATTTAATATCATAAATGTTATCTTACTGTCATAGTTATAGAGATATTTTAATAGGAAATTCATCATGCTCCCAAGCTAGCCACTGTAATATTAATTATTAAATTTAAGAAGAAAATTCTGAAAGCTGAAACCTTCTGCAGTTTTTCTTGACTCATAAAACAGATATGTAAAAGCATTTTAATAAACTAAAATTTAATGCAACCATTGCTAACAGAGTCAAAACACACAGTAATTCCAATAATTTTCATGTAAGGATAGGAGATAATTCAGAAAACAAAATAATTTTAGAAATCTAGCTCTGTCTTGTGAGATTATTGCAATTTAATGTTTTCCCCCAGAATGTGTGAAAGTTGAGAAAAATGGGAGATTTGCATTCATTAGTATCTTAAGCATTTACTATATATAAAAAACATTAAAATGTACCTTTGATTGCAAAATAATTAAAGCAAAAACTGTCAAGAACAATGGAGAAATCTGTAACCATAATTGGACCTTTTAACGTCTCTTTCTCGTTCTCAACTAAAAGAATAAAAAAATCATTCAAGATATAGAAAATCTGAACCAATTGAACTACTTGAATTACTTGAACACCATACATAACTTCAGTGTACATAACATTTTCTACTGCATGTTGAACATAACAATATTTCAATAAAATTTAAATGACTAAAAAATTATTGGGTATATTTTCTGATGAAAATGGAAGTTAATAGAAATAACAAATAATGGTCTCGGATATTCTGAAATAAAAATTTTATCTTTTAGTGGTGAATAAGATATAGGAATTTAGAAAACATTGGAAACTAAATTTCAATAAGAATTTGACATGTAAATGCATCTAACACACTATTTAAAATTATGTCTTTAAATTACTGATATTAAAAAAGAAGAAAAGTTCATTAAGTAACTAAGAACAAAAAATTAAATCATTTCTGTATATTTGTAATACATAAATATCACTGTGTAGGTTTTTACATGGGAAGAGATAAGAACTTTCTTTAAACTAATAGGTGAAGTAAGAGATTAAACCTACCTAAAGCGGTTTGTTTCTTTGATTCCAAGTGCATTGAATACGTTTCTTTATTTTTTTAACCTTTTTTTTCCCATAGAGTTTATTGGTACATTTTAGGTACACAGTACAGTTACGTTCATCATTGGGATCCTGTACCTTTACATGACAGGTCTTGGTTCTCATTTTTCCCCTTGTTCTTGCCCGCCCTTCACCCCCCATCCCTTCCCTATTTACAAATACTTTATTTCCATTTTTTCATTTTCTCATTTTTTTCTTTACCCTTACTTTTTGAATCTTAGTAACAGAGGAGACTAAGAAGATAGGTATGCAAGAGAAACTGTTAGGGCATATTTCAATGGAGTCTTAAAGGGAAATCGTGGCTATTGCCCTCACCGTACCAAAAGCACTGCTGCTGCATCTCTTTCTAATGTTTCTTTCATTATTTCATTCATTCTTTATGTATTTGCCAAATTAAGAAGTACTCAACATTATATTTAGTACTTTTAAGATAGTAAGTAATTCTATTTATAAGATACATTTTTTTAGGCAAAGAAAGAAAACGATGGCAATTTAATAAGAAGAGATAACAAATGCCTTTGATTTAGGTGACCTAAGATTCATAGTGATAAGGACCCAAGATGGCCAATAGATAAAAAGAAACACTCGTTGCCAAAGATATACAGATGGGTGGAGCTCCTAGACATACATCAATTACATGTTCTGAAGTATTATACTTATAAATAATTACTCAGGATTTTTGAAATATTCTCTTCTATGACTGCATTCTTCACTTAAATTCTGAGGTAAAAATACATTCAAGTTGTCATGGAAGAAAACACTGTGCCATAACTGTGTATAGCAGATCTCCAATCACTTTTGCTTCAATTTTATCTAAAGGCAATTATTTCTCATATGCAGTTTCGGTTATCTACTGAAGTGATAAGGCGCATTGCAATATGAGGAATTCAGGTTTTTTCTAGCTTTCTGCTGCGTCATTGGTGATTTGAACTTTCAGACTCCTTTATGGTCGGCCTAAGAGGATTCTGGTGCTCTGACCATGGTAGTCTAGCAGAATCTGAGGAGAAGACAAGAGAAAGAAGGGCATTCTCGTCTTTTAATGGCATCTTTCAGACAATGTTTTCAATCTGTGTCTCCACTACATTTTAGCCTGTGGTCACACCCACTGAACAAAATGATAAAGTTGTTCTTCTGGGCAAGCACACGCCTGGTAAAAAGCTGATATTTTCATTGATGCATAGGAAAAGAAGGAAGGGTATTGGGAGTCAGCTTGCTCCACAGTAATTTAAATAATTAAAATTCACACGGACACAAAGAAGGCATTTAACATCATGTAGCTATGGTTACCAGTAATTCTTTCCGTAAATGACTAGTAATCATATCCTTTTGTTTCCATTGTTTATTTCAACTCACAATATTGCCAAATCACATGGAAGAATAAAAGCAGTCTGTTACAATATTTTTATTCTTCTATTTTTTCCCCTTCTCTCCACAGGTATCACTACAGTATTGACTATGACAACCCTGAGTACAATTGCCAGGAAGTCTTTACCTAAGGTTTCTTATGTGACTGCGATGGATCTCTTTGTTTCTGTTTGTTTCATTTTTGTTTTTGCAGCCTTAATGGAATATGGAACCTTGCATTATTTTACTAGCAACAAAAAAGGAAAGACTACTAGAGATAGGAAGATGAAAAACAGGGCCTTGGTATGTTACAAAACTTTTACTGCATAAACCTCAATTTACCTGAAACTTCAGTTTTTGAATATTCGTGTTATGTTTGCTTAAGGTAATAATGATAGTTGAGATTTTAGGACAAAAGAAAAGAAAAATTAAAGTGCAACTGGAAAATTTAACATCACCAAGAGAAGTATATTCATATTTCTTCAGGATTCTTGTTAGTCCCTTGTGAAGAATGATTTCTTATACTATGAAATTTTCCACAAGTTGTGTATTATTTGTGCTTAAAATATTATTAAATATTTCTCTTTAACTATATTTTTGTATTAGGATTGACTCCTTTTAAGAGATTAATATCTTTCTTTAATGTCAGAATATCACAGCCATAATTTTTTTTAATTTTTGCTTGTTTGAACGTCTTTATTTTCCCATCCCAATTATATAATATGTACCTTAATTTATATCACAACAGTATATATATTAAAATTGATTTTATTGATTCTCATATACTTAAGGACTGGCTGATTTATTTTTATTTCTTTTTAAAATAGCAATTATGACAACTTCAAAGTAATATTGCACACTTATTGAGTAGTCCAGGCAGCACTCTCGGTATTTGACATGCCTGGTTTCCTTTATGATCAAAGCATAAATGAAAGAATGGCTCAGAATTGTGCAAAGGACCAGTTAATAAGTGAAGGATTCAAGACTCACACCTGAGTCTTTTTTGTTCCTAGAAATCAGACTGTAACCATTTATGTTAGTTTTTTCCCATTGGACTCCAGAATTTAGGCATTTATTTCTTTGAAATTAAAAAGTAGCTTTATCACTAATTACAGTAAATGTTTCAAAAGCAAAGTTGATCCAAAATACTAAAACAATGAAATGTATATTGTATAAAACAGCTGTGCACGTACGGCAAGCTTATCAGCCTACACTAGTGGGCACAAAATGAGGCATGAAGTTTTGCATTTTACCTAAATTTGTAAATTGTAGGATTCAATGTTTTTCTCTCCCCTTCCTCTATTTTTCCTTAATTTCTTTATAAAATTGTCCTTTCATTTAAAATGTATCTTACTATTTTGGAGAAATCTTAGGCCAAGTATGTACTCTGATATATTTTGTTTTGAGATTATCACAATATTCTAAGAAAGCAGGGCACATTGCCCATAGCACAAAGTGGAGAAAATATGTTGTATAATCAACCTCTGAATCTCTCACCTCTCATCATTTCAGCTTATCTGTAGGATTTGGTACGATCTCCAAGGGAACACATCAGAGAACAAGTTGGTCAAGTTTAATATCCATTATTAAATTTTTACTTTTCTAAATGAAAGTTTTCTACTATTTTCCTTTAATTAGACCCAAGCATACTGTCTGCATTTTTCCATTTTATCATTTACACATTCATAGTTATGTTTAATTACTGCCTTCAAGTCTTTACTTGTGGAAATTGTGATCAGAAATACTTAGAATAAAAACAACTAACATGAAAAGCTAGATGATATCCAATGTTACATGGATTTTCTACTTTTAGTCCAATAACATCTAATATGGAAACTACTATCACATCATGGAAGGACAAAATACCAAACAATGGCAACTGTAAGGACATCAGCTAATCAGTTGGCCCCAGATCATGTACTCTGGACCATTGCTCTGGATGGCACACTTACTCAGGAAAGCCAAGAAAACACAATTCAAACCTTAAAATTATGGCATTGAATCCTTTTAAATTAAATGTCTATAAAAAACAATTTTACAATTGTTACTCCATTATAGAGTGATTACTGAAGAAGAAAAGTCTGCATGTTAGAGGCTTCAAAATTTAGCACCAAATCCAGAGAAAAAAAATGAAGATGCAAGATTAAAGAATAAAAATCAAATGACAGCCAGGCATTGTGGAGTAAGCCTGTAATCCTAGCATTCTTGAAAGCTGAGGCAGGAAGATTACAAATTTGAGCCCAGCCTGGGCAATTTAGCAACTTCATGGACTCTGTTTCAAAATAAAAAGTAAAAGAAAGTGGGGATATAAAAATAAACAGATGTTAGTATAGCTCAGTGGTCCTCATTCTGATGCAATATATATTTTTTATTACCACCGATTAAAAAATAATTTAAGTGTAGTTATTTCAAATTTTATTTTGAGAAAATCTGAGAAGTTAACTATGTTACCAGGTCATCAAGACCCTCAATTAACTGCCTTGCAAGCACAAGGACCCGAGTTCAATCCCAGGTACCAAAAAAATAAAGAAAAAAAAAAGAAATAAAAAAAGACCCTCAATTAGTAGAGGTAATGGTCACTGAAAGGCAATAGTAGTAAATAAGCCATTGTCAGCTAGGAGTACATCATGTTGAAACTTGATTATTTAGCCAACAGGAGATCAGAAACCTCAGAAAGCCATGCTATACTCAAACTGGGATCCTGATTTACTTATTTGAGAATAGGAGTTTCTTATTTTTTTTTTTTCTAAGACTATATAATTTTATTTTATACTTTTTTCTTCATTGATTCTCTAGTTTCTAGTTTTTAATTAATTAATTTTTTTTTATTTTTTATTTATTATTTTTTTTTATTGAATAAAATGGTTTGTATTTTTAATTTCAAATTTTAATTGTGGAGTCCTAGCATATTGGAAGCAATTAATTTATGTATTAAATTAGTAGCCAGGGCCTTTGCTACAACTGTTTATTAGTTCCAGAAGATTTTTGTAAATTCTTTGAGATTTTATACTTAGAAAATCATGTGATCTAGAAACAAAGATAGTTTTCCTTCTCCTAATCTATAAAACTTTTTATTTCCATTTTTTAATTGCATCAATTAGGGATCACATACTTTTTTTTTTTTGTACCAGGGATTGAACTTGGGACCTTGTGCTTGTG